ACAGAAAAACAGAGCAGAAGGTATAGAAATTTCTCATGTACCTCCTGTTCTCACATACACACATAACCTCCTCCTCTATCTACATCCTCCACCAGTGTGGTATGTCTGTTATAACTGACGAACCTGCACTGATGCATTATTATCAGCAAGTTCAGAGCTTACATTTGGGCTCGTGCTTGGTGTTGTACATCCTATGGCTTTTGACAACTGTATAGTGACCTGAATCTACCATTGTAATATCGTGTGGAATAGTTTCACTTCCTTAAAAGTATTGCATGTTCTGTCTGCTCATCCCTCCTCCCCTCTAGCCCCTGGCAAACATTAATCTTTTTTACTGTTTCCATAGTTTCTCCTTTTCTGAAATGTCATATATGGTCTGTAGCCTTTTTAGAATGGCTTCTTTCACTTAGTGATGTGTATTTAGGTTTCCTCCATATCTCTTCATGGCTTGATAGCCCATTTCTTTTTGGCACCAAATTATATTCCGTTGTCTGGATGTACCAGTTTACTTATCCACTCACCTATTAAAAAACATTTTTGTTGCTTCCAAGTTTTGGCAATTATGAATAAAGCTCCTGTAAACATCCAGGTGTAGGATTTCATATGAACATACGTTTTTGATTCATTTGGGTAAATACTAAGGAAACTAATTGCTGAATCTTATGGTAAGAGTACGTTTAATTTTGCAAGAAACTGCCAAACTGTCTTCCAAAGTGACTTTATCATGTTTTCTTTTTTTCTAGTTTTATTAAGACATAATGGACATACAGTGCTGTATAAGATGAAGGTGCATAGCGAATGATTTGACCTTACATATATTGTGAATTAATTAACACAGTAAATTTAGTTAATATATGTCATCTCATATAGATACAAAAAAGAAAGACTTTAAAAAAATGTTTAGAGAGAGGGTAAGGGAAGGAGAAAAAGAGGGAGAGAAACATAAATGTGTGGTTGCCTATTGTGTGTTCCTATTGGGGACCTGGCCCACAACCCAGGCATGTGCTCTGACTGGGAATTGAATCAGTGACCCTTTGGTTCACAGGCTGGCACTCAATCCACTGAGCCACACCAGCCAGGGTGTTTCCCACTAGTTTTCTATTACTGTTGCTCCACATCCTTGCAATCATTTGGTGTCAGTGTTTTGGATTTTGACAATTTTAATAAGTATGTAATTGTGATATATATATATATCAGCCACTGGTTCTTGGCACAGAGGTCTGAGAAACCTTGTCATTTTCTAAGTGATAAGAGCACAAGAGCATCTTTTGTTCTAATAGTTGGCCTTTGACCCTGGTTCCTGACACAGGGCTCCTAAATCCTTTGGAATTTCCTGGGTAATAGGAGTGTCTTTTGCTCTAACGAGGGGAGTCTTGGTGGGCTCCTGGATGGGGGCTGGTCACTGGAAAGACAAAGCCATGATTAGAAGCTTGGAATTTTCAGCCCTGCCTCCCATTCTCCAAACAGGAAGGGGGGCTGGAAAAGCAGTTCATGATCAATCAGGCCTACCCAAGTGATGAAGCCTCCATAAAAATCCCAAAGGTATGTGATCCCACGGAGCTGCAGCAGGAGCGGCCGCATGAGGGAGCGCGTGGGAGCTCCACTCGCTGTTTCCGCAGACCTTGCCCTGACACATCTCTCACACCCGGATGACTATCTGTCTCCTTTATCATACCCTTTTATAATAAACTGGTCAACGATACATAAATTGCTTTCCTGAGTTCCGTGAGCCACTCCAGTGAATCAATCAAACCTGAAGGGGGTTAGAAACCTCTAATTTATATCGGATTGGTCAGAAACACAGGTGACTGCTATTGGCACCTGGAGTTCGGTGGGGGGAGTCATGTGGGATGGAGCCCTTAGCCTGAGGGATCTGATGTTATCTCCAGGTAGACAGTGTTAGGATTGAGTTAAATTGTAGGACACCCAAGCTGGTGTTGCCCAGAATTGCTTGCCTGGGGAACCCCCACCCCACATCTGTATAGGAAGTGTGAGTGAGACAGTAGCGTGAGAGTGAAGGAGACACACAGGAGGAGAACTGAGTTTCTCCTATACAGTAGTGGTATCTGGTTGTTGTTTTAATTTGCATTTCTCTGATGACATGATGTGGAACATCTTTTCATAGGCTCACTTGCCATCTGTGTATCTTCTTGAGTGAGATGTCTGTTAAAATTTTGGCCCATTTTTTTAATCAGGCTGTTCGTTTTCTTATTGAGTTTTAAGAGCTCTTTGTCTATTTTGAATAATACCTTTGTCAGATGTGTCTTTAGCAAATACTTTTTTCTCAGACTGTGGCTTGTCTTCTCTATATCTTGACTCTTATATTTTCACCTTGTTCCTTTTTCACCTAACAGTGCATTTCTCCTTGATTATTTTTCACATCAGGCTTCATTCTGAGAGGGTTGCTTGCTTGGCACAGACTCTGGGCACTGGCTGGCACTCTTGGGCTCAGCTCACTCTCTTTAATAAAACTTACAGACATTCTTAGGGCTTTAAAGAAAAGAGGAAGATCAGTTGAGATGATTGACTCCGTATTATGGAATAAACTATGTATAAATATAGCTTAGATATAACTCTGTACTATGTATAGAGTTATAATAACTTATAGGTATAATGAAATGACTCTAAAAATGTTTCTGTTTTCTACAAAGTACTTACCCCCAGCTCAAAATTATGTTTTTGATCATTTATTTTCTACCTCTTCCAATAACACATAGTGTTAAGGTTACAGGGACATGTTTTGTTCACCTTTGTGATCCTAAACCAGCATCTGGCACATGGTAGGCTGTGCGTTCATAGCTGATGAATAAATTTATGAATAAGCAACTCTGGGACCCTGTAGCCTTCAGATATTGGTGAGACTATAAGGCAGCTGGGCCACCCTCTTGTCTGCTTGTCCTCAGACCTGTCCGTACTAAGTGATGGCCGCATCACTTTCTACTGTCAGAACAGAAGCCCTCATTGCAAGGAATCCTTTGTTTCCCTGTCTGAAATTGCTCAGAGCCCAAATTTAAAGTACAGAGTATCCAAGGACAGCATTTTTATGGCTCTTGTTATAATATAAGTGACTCTAATTCTGTGAAATCCGTGCTGCAGCTGCCAGGAAACGCCTGCCCCTGACGGATGGCCATCAATTGCTTTCTGCAAGTGCCTGGAAGCTGGAAGAGTTTCAGGATGACAACAACTTTCCATCTCGGCGTTCTGGAAGATTCCCATCTTACTCCCTCCACTTGAGAAACTTTGTTTCCATTGTCACCTCCGTTGTCTTAGCTGGCATACATATGGTGTATTAGGCATAGTAGAAGGCACTCATTACATGCTAATAGATTAAGTCACATTATTATTATTATTATTATTATTATTATTATTATTATTATTATTATCGAGGGTCAATAATTAGAAAATGTGTATTTAAGAAATTACATTACACCAAAGAAGAGGTACAATTGGCCAATAAGCACATGAAATTCTTTTTCTTTATTTTTATTGGTGACACTATTGCAGATGTCCCCATTTCCCCTTCTTTGCCACCTCCAGCCAGCCCCTGTCCCCCTCCCCTCTGGCCATCACCACACTGTTGTCTGTGTCCGGGTGTCACGCATGTACGTTCTCTAGCTAAGCCCTTTGCTTCCTTTCACACAGTCCCCCTGCCCCCTTCCCTCTGGCAGCGGTCAGTCTGTTCCATGTGTTCATGCCTCTGCTTCTGTTTGTTCACCAGTTTATTTTGTTCATTAGATTCCACATACAAATGAGATCGTGTGGTGTTTGTCTTTCTCTGACAGGCTCATTTCATTTAGCATAATCTCCAGGTCCATCCACTCTGTCAAAAAAGGTAAGATTTCAAAAAGGAAGGAAACTCTGACACATGCTACCACATGAGTGAACTGTGAGTACATTACACTGAATGAGATATGCCCATCACAAAATATTAACGTACAATTTCACTTATATGCGGTATCTAGAATAGTCAAACTCATAAAAAGAGAATGCTGCTTGCCAGCACCTTGGGAAAAGGGGAAACAGTGGAGCTACTGTCAACGAGCTCTGAGTTTCAGTTCTGCAAGGTGAAGTTCTGGAGATTGGTTGCGCAACAGCATCGACCTACTTCACACTAGCAAACTGAACACTTAAAAACAGTTAAGATGGTAAGTTTTTGGCTTTTCACCACAATAAAAATGGTTTAAGCTTTAAAAAAGACCAGCTATTCCAAGGTTTCTTATTAGTATATGGGAAGATGTATGAATGTCTATGATAATTATTTTATTATTATTATTTTAAAAGATTTTATTTATTTATTTTTAGAGAGAGGGGATGGGAAGGAGAGAGGGAGAGAAACATCAGTGTATGGTTGCCTCTCACACACCCCCTACTGGGGACCTGGCCTGCAACCCAGGTGTGTGCCCTGACTGGGAATTGAACCTGCGACTCTTTGGTTCACAGGCTGGAGCTCAATCCACTGAGAGACACCAGCCAGGGTAATGATAATTATTTTCGGATGCAAAGTGAAGACAATGGTTGATTTTTCATTTTAAACTAGTCCATGAAAATTATGGGGCTCTTGATAGATGAAGCTGGTTAACAATGTTTTTACCTAATGCCAGATTTGCTACATTTTACCTGTGAGCATCTATAGGATTCGAATGAGGTCGTTGTATGCTGCTTCTAGAACGGATAATTTTCGAAGACATGTTGAATTCGGACTGCTTTTTATCAGTTTAATGAGCTAAGAGAGAATTCATACTGGTAAGTGGTTTTTTAAAAGAATAGCAGCTTTGAGGATGGTCCCTTTTAACTTCTCTCCAGGCCCAAATACCCTAATGAGCAGTTTCCATCAAAATCAGGACCAGCTTTCTATCTTTTTTAGTTTTGATGCTGCTGTATCTTAAAGTGCACCAAAATATTTGTTTTATTCCCCACTGTTCTAGAGGTGAAAGGAAGTTATGCCTCTGTTCTTCAAATGAGGAAGGATTAGAGATATTTCATATAGGGAGGTATCGTTGAGTTCGCTGAATGGACACCATGAACAAAGCTCACCCCCCTGAGCTAAAAAAAATTATGGACAAGAAGTTATCATTGAAATTAAATGGTGGCAGACATGTCCAAGGAATCTTGTGGGGATTTGATCCCTTTATGAATCTTGTGATAGATGAATGTGCGGAGATGGCAACTAGTGGGCAACAGAACAATATTGGAGTGGTGGAAATACGAGGCAATAGTATCATCATGCTAGAAGCCTTGGAATAAGTCTAAAAATGGCCGTGTTCACCAGAGAAACCAACCGCTTCCGCGTCCCCTCTTCACATGTCCTGTTTTATTTAGTACAATATAAAAATTGAATCTGGTACATTTCACATTGAACTTTTGTTAAATAAATTTTTGTATTGGTCAAAAAAAAATGTCATATGACCAGAGTAACACTTAAGCCTCATTGCTAATACTGTATGAATGGATGCTCAAAGGTGCAGATTTAAAGGGTAACAGCATAAGAAAACACACAGGTGTGTTATAAGACTTAGGTAATTAATTATTATGTGTCAGAAATAAGGAGATCAGAAAAGCAAAAAGGAAGAAAGAGTCCAATAATACTATCTGTAATAAAGAAGCTTCAAGATCAAAGAATGTAAATAAGGTCTTAAAAGGCTTCAAAGTGCATTCTTTACATAGGAACTATAGAAGACATACTCTGTTCTCAATTATTCTGTATTTAATTCCATATATTTAATATGAGTGCTAAGTATTTATTTTGAAGATATCTGTCTAGAGGTAGGGAGACTATCAGTGAAAATCATGAGGCAAATTTCCAGTTACCCTTTTGTGTCTTTGAAAGATTTCAATTTGCCTTGTTCTTTTCCGTAAATCATGTTTCACATAGTTATGACCTTATCATTTTATTACTTCATTTTATTACTCGTCAATAACCATGGGTAATTAAGACTATCTTTTCAATTGATTGGTTTTAAAAAGTGCCTCATTCATGACCACTCATTGCTGAATTAGCTCATAAATCATCTGAGGTTGTGATCAGCTGCCAGGAGGCAAACGGGTTAATGTTTCCGGTTACAAGAATTCCAGAGGCTTGTAGTTGCTAACAGCAGTTGAGTAGCTTAACTGGTTGGGATCGTTGTCTGGGTCAGTGGACCTCAGACTTTGGGTCTACAACCTCGTTATAGGCTTAAAAATTACTGAGGATCCCCCCAGAAGGTTTTGTTTATGTGGGTTCTATCTATTGATACTTACCATATTGGAGAATTTATAAATTAAAAAATTATTAGTTGATTTGAAAATAATAATAAGCCCATTACATATTAACGTAGTTTTGTGAAAAATAACTATACTCACAAAACAAAAAAGGAAATCAGTGAGAAGATTGGCATTGTTTTGCAAATCTCCTTTATGTCTGGCTTAATAAAGAACTCGATTCTCATAGCCCTTTCTGCAGTCAGTCTGTTGGGCCATGGGCATTTGGTTGAAGTATATGAAAGAAATCTGGCCTCACACAGATGAGAGCTGGAAAAGGAATGATTGTGAGAACCCCTGAAAGTGCGTGATGGAATCGTAAGGGTCCTTGGACAATTCTCTGAGGGCCATCAGACTAGATCATTCTTTTTCCATGTTTGCTGCCTCTTGGTGAAAAGATAACTGTTGTGTCTCTGACTTTTGTTTTCAAGGAAGGAAGAAGAGGGTAGAGTAAAGGGCTTGTCTGGAAGACTTTTCAATAGATTTTCCCCTTCATCTCAAGAATCATAACTGGGTAATAAACCATTATCAGGCCAATCGTTAACCAAGGGGAGTAAGAAGATCATGACTGATTCGGTGGTACTGGCACCAGCCTGGGTGCAGGGTAGGATTTACTATCCCTGGAATTAAGAGGTCTCTGTTTAGAGTTATTGGATTGGTCAAAAAAAAAAAAAATGTCATATGACCAGAGTAACATTTAAGCCTCATTGCTAATACTGTATGAATGGATGCTCAAAGGTGCAGATTTAAAGGGTAGCAGCGTAAGAAGCAAATAAAAATATAGAACAGCCCATCAAATTTGAATGTCGGAAGGCAGAGTGGCATTTTGCTTTGGGGGAGCTGTCTCTGAGGCAGGAATGCTTCCGGGGGTGGGAGTCGGGGATGCAGAGGGCAGAAACCAGCTGGAGGAAGACAGCTAGCAGGCCTGCTGTGGGGGGAGGGGCGGGGGCACATCGGGCCAGGGTCCTGCAGGAAGGCAGCGGCAAGGGCTGACGGCAGTGTTGGAGGAGCCCTGCCTGCAGCGCCCCATCCTGAGGTTTGCTCCGTGTTTCCAAGGGCCGAAGAAGACAGAGACAGACGAAAGAAGGCTAAAGTAGAGGATGTTGTCTCCTTCCCCATCTCATTTCCAATCGCTCCCCCCCCCCTTTCAGGGCAGAAGCATTTTTATTTGCAGTTTCTACTGAAGAATCTGCATTCATAGATCAGATTTCAGAATTTGTTCCTGCCTTTTCATCAACATTCTCAGTACTAATTTATGCCTCCATAAGATTGTAAGTAAGCAAGAAAATCAAAAGAACTATGATGCTTAGGTTTTTGTTTTAAGTAAACCCTTCCCTTAGGTAAGAGTGAAATGGCAGAATAAGTTCTTTTAATACTATTTCCTGGCAAGCTTGCATGAATCATTACCATCCTAGGGAAATGAGGCAGGAAGCTATTGTGAGAAACCCGTGATTAGTAAAGGGAAATGAAAATCAAGTCATTAGAATTTGTATTTTTCTGTGATACCATCTATGACAAGGTATTGAATCTTTTTTTTTTTTAAACTAAGAGGTCTGAGAACCTAAATATCATTGATTTATTCACTCAACATTTATTATATGCCTTTTCTATGTCAGACCTTGTGCTGGTGATTATAAAGGGTGAATTAGACATGTTCTCAGGTGGTTAGTAGAGTGAGGGAAACATGTAAAGAAATAACTAATAGCAAAAAAGTGAAATAATTCTAATAAAATACTTTAATAGATAAGTGATGCAGAGCTAACATTTATTGGCAAACACTGTATGAAGTGCTCTAAATCAAAGGTCAAATTTAATAACCAAAGTCAATATCAACAACTAAATTTAACCCTCACAACAGACGTATGAGGTAGGTGTCATTATTATCGTCATTTTGCAGATGAGAACACTGAGCTCAGAGAGGCTTCAAATTTGCCTAAGTTAGTAAGTATCGAAGCTGCATGGGGTTCAAACTGGTGACCTCTGGCAGGTGAGAAAATGTTTCAGTAGGAGACCCTGAAAAATAGGTCTTTCCTGCTAGGAAAAACGGAGGGGATGGGGAGAGGGCATGGCAGTCCCAGGAAGAGAGAAGGAGGTGCAATGCACCCAGCCTGTGGGGAGCGGAGAGCACTTCTGAGGGAGCAAAGGCAGGTGAAGGGGCAGGGGCAGAGCACAGGGGCTTGAATGTCTTACTGAGGAATGGCAGGTTTGTTCCATCAAAGGGACTGAGGCAAGGGAGTGACCGGATCAGCTTTGCACTTCAGAAAAATTACTCTGGCAGAAGTGCAGATTAGAGAAAGGGAGGCAGGAAACTATTTGTCTGCCTGGCTCAGGGGACCAGGAAAGTAATGCCACTCCTGAGAATACAGCCTAGAGAAACTCTCAAACATCTGCTCAAAGAGAGTAATGGTGCACTTTTTGCATTAGCGAAAAATCCTAAGCATCCTTCAACAGGAACTGAATAAATAATTTGTGGCATAGTCACCTAATGGAATACCACATGGTAGTTAAAAGGAATGAATTAGGGCGACATGTGTCAACAGGAAAAAAAGTAAAATTGAGTGAAGAAAGCACTTGTGGAGAACATGCAGTATGATGTCATTTTGGTAAAGTTTAAAAACCTGCAAAGCGATGCTTGAAGTGTGTTTTTTTTTTTTTTAGATTTTATTTATTTTATTTTTAGACAGGGGAAGGGAGGGAGAAAGAGATGGAGAGAAACATCAGTGTGTGGTTGCTTCTTATGTGCCCCCCCACTGGGGACCTGGCCTGCAACCCAGGCCTGTGCCCTGGTTGGGAATCAAACTGGCAACCCATTGTTTCACAGGCCAGTGCTCAATCCACTGAGCCACACCAGCCAGGGCTGATGTATTTTTAATCAATTCATAGCATGAGAAAGCATGAAACATGCATGAGCTTAATAGCAAATTCACTAGAGTGTGTTGGGATGTGGGGCAGGCTAGTCAAGGTGGGCTAAAGTATGGATACCTATGTAACTTCACTTAAAAATAAAATTGTAAATATGACAAGGTTAAGATTTTGATAAAACTGGTATTCAAAACACAGCTGCTTGTTATATTATTCTATTTTTTCAGCTATATATTTGATATATATTTTTAGCTATATATTTTAAAGGAAGGTTAGGCTTGGACCCAAAAGTATACAGTGAAAAGAAAGAAAAAAAAAACCAGAAAGCAGAACTCTGATAGCAGTGTAGCCAAGAGATAGGGAACTGGGAGACCACTGCCCTGTCCAGGCAAGAGGTCATGAGGACGTGAACTGATCCAAGTTCAAGGCAGTGGGAATGGGAGGCCATGAGAGATGGAAAGTAGGTGAATGTTGGGAGGTAGGAAGTAGCAGAGAGAGTCCAGTCCAAATGGCTCCCAGCGCCTGGCTCCCATTACTGTGTGGGTGGTGAGTGAGGCCCATCGCCAAGAAAGGGAATGCAGGACTAGCGACAGGTTTGGCCTGGGCGTGGTGTGTGGAGATCAGTTTCAGACACGTTTGATGAGAGGTTTTTCCAGGAAGAAACATCCAATATACCACCTGATATTCTGGCTAGGAGTTCGAGGTCCGGAGTAGAAATACAAATTTGGTTATCGCCAGCATTTGGGAGAGACCCAATAATAATAATGAGGTTATGCGTCCTACTGTAGGAATAAATACAGATGTACAATATGGTAACAATTAAAAAAAATTAATGGATGATGAGCTCAGGTGTGAGAAATATATAAATAAAATATAAATCCTGACTTTTACTCATTGCATTTAAAATCTTTAAAACAAATAGAAACCTACCTCTGACAAATTACATGTCTACGACCTGGAGTACGTGTTGACTTAACCTCTCATTACCATGAGGAGGAACTTGATAACCCCCGCACCTCCTCCCTGCACCCCGAAAGTCTGCGATCTCTCCGCAGGGCGTGCTGGAACCAGAAATGAGGGACCAGAAACGGCAGAAATCGACCTGATGTTGGTAGCCCAGCTCATGCTCAGGTTGCCTGGGGAAC